AGTAGAGCTATGAAAATTTGTAATGGTTCTTTCATTGTATTGGAACGGCAAAGAAAGACTGTCAAATTTTATGTTATGCAAGGTTCATCAATTTTAGATAATACTTGTGTTGTTTCCTGGTTTGTGTTAGATGACAATGGTATTGGTAAAAACATCTTGCCTAAATCAAGTAAAAGAGGTTTTTGTTTTAAAGAATATGGTTGTGGAGATAATAATTTTTGGAAGCAAAAAAGGAATTCAATTTTGTGGACATAACAAATTTGAAAAGTAAAAAATATACCAATTTTCCGCGATGATAACTTACAAAAGGGATAAATTTGTTATTGGTGATCGTGATTGTATTGTGCATGATATTTTGCTTGTGGTGATATAATTGTGAGAAAACTTGAAATTTATGATGACCTTACTGATGAGAAGACTAAATCTAAACTTAGGCAATGCTTGGATTTGATCAATGTTCATTTTTGTCGAATACCTCTTTAAGGCCATCTCCAGCCCTCATCTCTACTCTACAACATCTCTATCTCTACTCTAAAGATGAAACAGTAATTCATCTCCAACACTATCTCTACATTACCACCAACTCTACTTTATTCACAATATTTAGCTATTAGTATGTTTATTTATCTAATTTCAATGTATTTTTTTCTATCTTGTAATTTAATCTACTTGAATTTATTATATTATGTTTAATTTTTATTTTTATTGTGTAGAAATTACAATAAAAAACATAAAAGATAGAATAAGAGAAAATAATATAACAAAGAAAAGGAAAAGAAAAAGAAAATAAAAAAAAGTAAAAAATCACAAAAACTAAAATTCAGAAAAACAACAAATATATATATATATATATATATTATGTAGCGCAACTACAGTGCTGCGTTAGATGTAGAGTATCACTGTAGCATCTCCACATTCCAGACTCTACTCTAGAGATGGGCTGGAGTTGAAATTCATCTCCAAAGTGGAGATTTTCTCTACTCTAGAGATGCGTTGGAGTTGGTCTAAGGGGGTTTCGTGGAAGAAGAGACTATATTCTCAAGGTGGAGAACTTGTATGTTGATGTGAAGAATTGATTCTTTTGTTGAGCTTGAGTGTTTTCACTGAATTCGAGATTTTGTCTCGAACTCCTTGCACTTTCATAATTCGTGTCAAGGTGGAGATTGTTAGACTTTGACTCGAATTCAATATGAAAATAAATTAATTGAAAAATAATTGAAAAAAAAAAGAAATCTAGTTTGATTAAAAGTGTAAAGTTTTTCTTTCTTTCTTTTTTCTTTTATGTAGAAAGTCTACTTTGAGTAGATTTATACTTTATAAGTTTCATTTGTAATCAAGTATCAATCCCTATAAATAAATATTAGGGTTAAAAGTTAATTTTTTTTTATAAATCCTCTTGTTTTTTTATTCTTTTAACATTAATGAAAATTATCTTCTTTTGCCTGTAATTTTTTCTGAAAGGATCATTTAGGTAAAACTTTGGTGGCTCTTTTATTGTGAGATAATTATACTTATTGTTATCTTCTTACATTACTTGCACAAATTTTATTTATGAAAAATAATTAACTTGATTAAAATGATAAAAAAAATAAATGATAATTTGGTAAAAGTTTTAAGATCATGAGAAATGGATGGTTTGCATCCTGTATTACATCTTGCATGTGATGTGAGATTGCGATTTAATTGCATTCTTGGGAAATCAAATACCATAATCCTACATCGAAATCTAAAATACACTGTATAATCTTTAGATAACGTGGATCAAGCACCTTGTGTAAGCCACATTTGACCTTTTCATGTGCTCCATACCTCGAAACGGATAAAACGATAAATTCAAGGATAAGGAACATAAAATATTATCAAATTATATAAATAAATATAAGTTTATAATGTTTTACTTGAGATATTATTCACGACAGTCCTCTTATATAATTTGCTTTTGGGTAAACTACAGAGTTGATTACTTTTATTTTATTTTTATATACATATGGTCACTTGATTTAAAAAAATTTAATTTGTAGTCACTTTCGTTTCGTTTTAATTAAGATGTGGTCACTTACCCTAAACGGTTGTTAAAGGTTTAACAATTTGATGACGTGGCACGTTAATAAAATGGTTTAATTTTTATTTTAAGCCTTAAACTTTATATAAAATTTAATTATGGACTTTTTTTTTTGTAAATCTAAAGTTTAGGGACAAGTTTACAATTACCTTTTTTTTAATTAAAAAAAAAGTCACTTGAGTTGTTTGGAACTTTCAATTGAAAGAGATCCACGGGAATCATCCTCTGTAGCAATAACTGAAGAAGCTGTTTTTCTGTTCTTAACAGCCAAAATGAAAACTCGACCAATCCTCGCAAATGGGCTTTCTTCATTCCCTTGGACACTAATGACTAAACCTGCAAGTTGTTGTTCCGAGCACAAAAATAAGCAATCCAACAGCCATCACAACACCACGTATTGCAAATCCAAGAACCCAATTTAGATAGTCTTGGATGTAGTTTAAAATCAAAAAGGATAAGAAGATGCCAACGTAAGTACAAAAGTACCACCAATTAAAGAAAGAACTCCTGGCTTTCCTCTTCTCAGGGTGCAATGCATCAAATTGGTCTGCACCAAAAGCTTGAACGCAGGATTTGTGCCCACCCATTGCAAATACTATCAAATACAGTGAGAAGAAAAATAGTATCACTTGAAGCACTGATGAAGTGTCTGCATTTTGGGCACCAGATGGAAGGGTGGCTGCCAGAATCAACAATCTCAGCCCCTGCATGTAAATAAAATCATTCCATATCAAATCATTTATAAAAAAAAAAATCTCCTACCAGTTAGTAAAAAAAACTCGAATTCTATTCTTTAAACATTTTTTTTTTCAATGTTTTAAATTTGGAAAGGAAGAAAAATAGATTTACCAAAACATAAACAAGGGGAGCAAGAATGATGGTGTGGTGTCGGCCAAGAATAGAGTCAGCACGAAAAGCAGCAAAGAGTGGGAGAAGCACAGACGCCCCTGACCAGGCGTTAACTTGTGCTGTGGGCTCAGATCAAAAGCTTCTCAGTTCATGGCGGGGGCTTCATTTTTCCCATAAAACAAGTCCATAAATTTATCTAAAATTAAATCATTTTATTAACGTGCCAAGTCATCAAATTATTAAATCTTTAAGGTCCTTTAGGATAAGCGACCACATCTTAATTAAAACGAAACAAAAATGATTATGAATTTAGTTTTTTTGAATTGAGTGATCATAAATTTATAAAAATAAAATAAAAGTATCTAATTAATTATAAGTTAATATTTATTTAAATATTTTAAACTAATTGATAATGTTCATATAGATACAATTAATATAATTTAAAATTTAAAGAAAATAATATTTTTTACCGCTAAACCCGATTGATGTGTTCGGTGTAAATTTAATTTGATAATGTTAAATATGTTTCTTTCCTTTGAACGACCGTTGAAGACCTTGGTTTCATAACGGGGTTTAAGACGGTCTGCAAAAAGCAAACCCAATAAAAGATCTAAAATAAGGCATGACAAAAGACAAAGAATGAAAACGCGGGACATCATCCACGTGGCAGTCATGAATAAAATTATCTCATTATTATTTTTGGCTAATCCAATCAATTAGAGCGTAATTGAGAACCGAAATCCGAGGGATTTATATTAAAAGAATCGCCTAAACAAAACAAAACAAAAAATGAATTCGCCATTATTCTTGTCTCTTTTGATCTTCAAGTGCCACAGAGAAAAACATTCGCCTTAAATTCCCAGGTAAGATGTGTTTTCAATGTCGTTTTTCGATATTCATATAAGTGTTTAATTGATGATACAACATGCGTCATATCATTATTTTGATAATGTAGCATGTGCCATATTACTTAAAATAATAACATCACACATGTCGCATCACTAATTAAATATATGTTAAAATATCATATCAATAATGTATTAAATGTTAGTAAACTAATGATTTTCATCCTAAATTTTTTTAATCAAAAATTGAAATATTAGACCTAAAATATTTCAAAAAAAAATAAAAGACAAAATGATTGTTTATGCAAACGTTAAGTAATAATTTTATCACGTATTTTTATATATTGATTCTTGTTAGATTGAACTCAGAATTAAATTATGTATACATTATATTTCTTAATCGTGATACTTGATTTTAAAGGGGAAAATTGTATGTATTTTGATACTACTATTTTCTTCGCCGGCTCATTGTTATAAACACATTAAATTGTGCACTAGAATAATCGCTATGCTGCCTGTTAGGTTAGATTCCACAGAGGAAGCAAGATGATTCTTAGATGTATAAAATGTGTTTAGGGCAATAAAAGATATTTCCCCCCTTCTTTTGTTTGTTAGCTATGCTCATTATAGTTGGAGACTCTGATTATGGATAGAGGGTTTCCAAAATGGTTGGCTAATTACATCTTCGCTTAAGATTTTGGATAAACAACGTATTAAATATTTAAACTATTATCTTTGTTTATTTGAATACTTAAACTCTATTTTTTTCAAAACAATATATGATATTTAGTTTAGGTTTTAATTTAGTACCTTGCTGTTTAAAAACTAACAAAATTATTGACGTGATATTTTTTAATTTTTTCCATTGATGACCTTACATTATCTTATGATGACACGTAAACATTATTGTTAAGTTTTTAATGCAGGGTTATCAAAATGAAACATAAACTTAAGATTTAAATATGATTTCGAAAAAAATAAAGTTTAAGTACTAAGATTTTTTTTTACAATGCACTGCAATTCAAGTTTTGTTTCTTCATATTTTTTATTAGCTGGTTGTTTCATTGAGCCTTGATGCATGTCAAACATAATTCATTAATGGCATCTCAACTTATTTTCAGAGATTTTGTTTGATGTGTTTCTGGTCGGGGTTTCATTAATCAAATCTGCTGCAAATTTTCATGTTAGAGACGACGCAATAGACTGGCGAAAGACCTCTGAGGGGTATATTGATATTCAAAACGATGGAGCAAGCCAATGTCTCTAAAACAGGTTCTTTAAAACTAGTAGAATACGAAAACAATAAACTTCAGTTCCTGTAAAGTCACAAAATGATTCCTAATTATAAGGTATAGTTTTGTTCAATCTTCTAACTATTAAAAGTTATAAAATAGTCATTCGAATATTCGTATGTTATAAAATCATCATTTTCCGTTATAAAATTGACGGCGACTGAATTGAATGTTAACATGTTAATTGTGATATGACAAAATGTGATCCTAGAATCTCAAACAATTCTGATATCAAATTTTATCATATCTCAATCAGCAAGTTAATGTTCAACTCAAACGAACGTCTACATTTTAACGAAAAAAACAAGTTAACATGTGAATAGTAGTGAGACACAAAGAAGTAACGCATTATTATTGAGAGATTATTTTATAATTTTTAATAGTTGGAGGATTCAACAAAGTAATATCTTATAATCGGGGGACTAGTTGTGTACTTTACCAAAAAAAATTCATCTTCCCTTAGGCATATGCCACTTTCTTTTCCCGTCGATAGAGAAGTTGTTTTTTCTTTTGTTTAGATGTTGATAAGAAAGTGGAAAAAATCTTGAAACTGGTCAAGAGGAGGAACAGAGGGAAGAAGGAGACAGAACTCGTTGGACTTGTGGAAGACTTTCACAAACAGTACCAATCGTTGTATGCTCAGTACGATCATCTTAAGCAAGGGCTTGGCAAGGAAGCTGCGGAAGGACTAAAGGAGGGTTGTTCTAAACATGCCAACGACTCCGATTCAGAATATTATTCCTCCGAGGATGTAGAAATCAACTCGGCACTTGGCCAGACAAGAAATTCCTCAAGAAAAAGGTCAATGGACATGGAGGATGAACTTAGAGGTGCATACACACAGATCTCGGACTTGAAAATTCAGTTGGCCTCTAGGACGAAAGAGAAGGAAGCTTTGGATTTGGACCATCTGACTGCTTTGAGCAAAGTACAAGAAATCGAAACCATGAATGGAGATTTGAAAACCGAGCTCGAGTCTCAACACAATGAAAGAAGAGATTTGGAAGCTCGGCTTGATGATATCACAGCTGAACTGAAACAGGTAACAGAGAAAAGTAAGGCATTTCTTGAGCAGGTCTCAGGGAAAGTAGTGGCTCAACACTTGAACCAAATCAAGGATAACGAGAACAGTTTAACATCAAAACTCGAGCATTCATTGGCTCGAATCAGTGATCTAAAAAAGGAGGTGGAGTGTTTACGTTCTCAAAAACGTGAAACCAAGAGGGGTATATTATGCAAAATTAACGAGTCGTTAGAGATTCAGCTACAGAGCAAATCCAAAGAGATTTCCCAGTATCTGGTTCAGGTGAAAACCCTGAAGGATGAATTAGAAAGAAAGACTGCCGCTGAGCAGATAATGGTAGAAGAAAAAGAAGGCTTGCAGGTGCAGGTGATGGACTTGGAATCCGAGGTCGACGCCCTACGGAAAGAGAAGAACAAATCCGAAGACGAAGAGAAGAGTAACATCCGTGAAATCAGTAGCTTGAGAGACGAAAAGGGTAAACTGAATGCCAGAGTTCTGGAACTGGAAACATTGTTAAGAAAGAGTGGTGCAGCGTGTTCTGGTTTTGTGGAGGACAATAAAAGTAAAATGCTTAACGAAGCTGCTCATATGAAAGTAGAGGTCGATCGTCTGCAGCCAAAGTTGGATTCCATTATGATAAACCCGTTTCAGTTGCCGCTTGCTGAACCGCAAACAACACAAGAGAGAGAGCAAAGCACCAACAGATCCATGCCGCCTAAAACTAAGCTGGTCAGACGATTATCCTTGGGAAACAATTTCAATTTCCATGTCCTAGAAAGAAAGATGGAGGATTTAGCTATAGAATTCCGCAGGAAAATCGACGATAGCATCCGTCTATTGTACCAGAGGATCAAAGTTGTTGAAAGGATACAACACGAGAACACAGAGCTTTACAAGACAACGAAAAGAGGGCTTGAGCAAGAAATCAAGGCTCTCAAACAAGAAGTGGCGACGATTGAAGAAGAATACGGAGAACTTAGAGAAGAGCTGGCCACACTTAAAGCGGGAAACAGAGTATTTAGAAACGAGATGGACACAATTGAAGAGGATGAAGAAGCAATCCGACAAGAGGTGGCCATGCTTAAAGCGGGAAACAAGGCACTCAGACAAGAGGTAGTCGAACTCGATGCCGGAAACGAAGCTCTCAGACAAGAGGTGGCCATATTTGAAGCGGAAAACAAAACACTCCGACAAGAGGTGACCATGCTAAAAGCGGGAAACAAAGCACTCAGACAAGAGGTGTCGACAGTTAAAGTGGAAGACGGTAAACTCAGACAAGAGGTGGTCACACTCAAAGTGGGAAACAAAGCACTCAGACAAGAAGTGGCCGTACTCGAAGCCGGAAACGAAGCACTCAAACAAGAGGTGGCCACGTTCGAAGCGCAGCTCAAGAAGTTGAGGGACATGATGGAGTCTCAAAAAAACACCACCATGGATAAGTTAGAAGACGAGCGAAATACCCTGACCCCCATTTCAATTGTCACGGACGAGGAATGTGAAAACAAATTAGAACATATGAAGAGCAGTGTGGATGTATTGGTAGCAGAAATGCAGAAAGAAGATGAGGCAGAGTTGTTAAGAGAGAGAGTAATGAATTTGGAGGCCAAGCTGAGTGAGGAAAGAGAAGAGACGTCGAAAGCCATTAGTGAAGTTGCGGAAAAGATGAGAAAAATGCAAAAGGAAAATGACAAGTTATGGCAGCAAGTGATGAATTTGGAAGCCAAGTTGAGCATGGAAGGAGAAGAGAAGATGAAATCCATTAGTGAAGTTAACGAAAAAATGAGAGACATGCAAAAGGAAAATGTCAAGTCAAGGGAGGAAGTGAGGAATTTGGAAGCCAAGATGAGTGAGGAAGGAGAAGAGAAGTTGAAAGCTATGAGTGAAGCTGAGAATAAGATGAGAGAAATGCAAAAGGAAAATGACAAGTTAAGGGAGGAAGTGACGAATTTGGAAGCAAAGTTGAGTGAAAAAGAAGAAGAAAAGTCCAAGGTGTTGAAAGGGATGAGCGAGGTTGAGAAGAGAGTGAGAGAATTGGAGAAGATAAGCAAAGAAAAAGATGAGACATTGTTGGTTCGTGAAGAAGAGAAGAGGGAAGCCATAAGGCAGCTTTGCCTCTTGATTGATTACCATCGTACCTGCTGTGACCATCTCAAGCAATCCATCTCAACCCTAACTGTTAGACTTGGAATCAAGAAAAAGGCTTGAACTTTGCCTGTTTCCATGGGTATATTTCAGACAAAACAATAATTGAGGAGGTGACAATGTCTCAATTGTTATTAGCTCTACATTTTTTCCACTGTTGTTTTCATATAAATGTCATTTTATTCACTAAATTTTGTAAAAAGAAAATTATTTTTTAACATTGTAATTTTTTTACATTATTGAACCGTATAAGATTGAAATACAAGCAGTTATCGCGATATTAATGTTAAATATTGATTTGTTAAGATTTTGATTTGAATAATTACTTTCATTTCATTTAATAAACAATGAATATACACAAAATTGCAAGCTAACTTTTAGCTAAATCTAAGGTTTGTATTTGTTGAAAGATAATATGCATGAAGGATAGGTTTCACGTGCATGGCCTGAGCTTGGGTGTGTGTGAGCAAAGCCTAGGGTTGTTATGCTTAGCTGTTAGGCTCACGGTTAGGAGGTTAGGCTGTTAGATCAATATCAGTACGATTTTGAGTGTTATAAAATCAATGTAAGGGTTTGTATCAAGGATAAATAAAAAAATCAGAAAGTTTTCCATTCTTGACGTTTCTTAACTTGGTATCTTTCGCTAGAAATCCTGGAGGCATCTTTCGTTTGCTGCGATGGTTCTGAGTGGTTCTGGTGCTTCTATTTGACGTTGTGCATGGTGAGGTTTCTTCAAAGAACTTCAAGATGTTTACCAAAAAAAAAAAGGTAAATGTCGTTCTTTATGAATTCAATTTCCTTTTATGGAAGCAATAAGTTCTCCTCACAGTCCGTAGCCATTGTCTCGAACAGTTACTAAATGGGACGATGTCGATTCCGCCAGAAACTGTTGTTGATGAGAATGGTTCTTCTGTTGTTAACGAGGCGTATGAAGATTTCTTAACCCAGGACAATGCTCTAGCGTTCTGGTTTCTCTCCACGATAAGTGCTTTTGCTACCCCAATTTGTTGGTGTTGGATCGACTGCATCTGTTTGGAGTACGGTTGTGCAATTGTTTACTAACAAATCAACTATGATGGTGAAGAGCCTCCACTACAAATTTCAGTCACTAAAGAAGGGTGACGATTTCATGCGTGTCTTACTCGTGACAAGGAGATCTGCGATGCCCTTGCCTCTTGTGGTAGTCTGGTGTCCTAGTTGGAGCACATTGTTAGTATTTTGAAGGGATTACCGAGAGAGTATCAGTCTTTTTCTCGATAGGGTTTACTCTATGGTAGTGGATGCAGAAACGCAATTAGCTAGATTCGATTCTCAACTGGAGAATATGCCAATGAGTGCTAATGTTGCTCAAAGGAAGGCACTAAGCAGCTCTACCAGTTTTGCTAGTTCACGTGATCATAAGTCGAGTCATTCAAGTTCGATGCATAATGGACAATCGGGTAGCAGAGAGGTCGTGCTCAGCTTTGGTGTCAATTACATGGTAAAAATAGTCACTACAAGAAATTTAGATTGTTTCAATAAAATTATTTACCACTAAAAGTACAAAAATTATCGCAATATATTTATTCTGACCAATTTTATTTGTTATCATGTTTGTTAGAACAACCTTGTCATGTAAAGTATATTGTGACAAAATTGTGTTCGTTACCATAATATAATATTTATTGTAATAATGAAATTTCGTTACTATAATTAACTTATCGCAATAAAATATTTGTCACAATCAATTAATCATTTCGTCACGAGAAGTACATTTTGTCATAACTAACTTATATTTAAACGTCAAATATAAAAAGTTTTTGTGACAAAAATACATAAGGCAACAAAAATTAATTTATCGCAGTTGCTATTTCATCACTAAATGTAACTTACAGAGACAAAATATTTGTTAAAATAAAATAATTATTTTATCACAAAATGTAAATTTTGTCACAATTAAGTTAAATTATAAAATCAAACAAAAAAGTTTTCATAAAAAAAAACATATTACAACAAAATTTATTTTCTCACTACTTTTATTTCGACACTAAATATTTTTTATAATTTTTTTACTATGACTAAATAATTTTGTTACAATTTGTTATTTTGAAAGAATATTATTTGTCACAATTTTTTATAATGAAAAATTAATATTTGTTATAAATTGTTATTTTGATTAAATAAATTTGCCACAATTTTTTATTTTGACTAAATATTGGGATGAAATAAATTTGACATAAGTGTTTACTTTGACTAAATTTAACGTCTTATTGTGACTAAATCATTTTGTTGCAATTTGTTATTGTGACTAAATCATTTTGTTGCAATTTGTTATTGTGAAAGAATATTACTTGCCACAATTTTTTATGATGAGAAATTAATATTTGTTATAAATAGGAACAAACTTTGTATTTTCAGCTAGTAGAATAAACAAGATATTGGCACCATTCCCATGTCAATACAATATGAATTTCGGTGTCTTAAACATGTCTGACATGGGCACTAGTTATACAATCTTGGTCTTTCATGCGAGCCAGACCAAACACTAACAGGAAGAAAGTGAACTGAGACAACAATGGGAGATTGCTGGGTCATGTGAAAACATGATACACAAACTGAACAAAAAAAATACCCGAGTGTACTATTTCTGTACGCTTTTCATCCAAATGCACGAGTCTGAATATTTTAGTAAAATATGGCCCAATACATAGAGACAACAGACAACCATGTCAGATATTCAAATACCCAAAGCATGTAACTATAGTTGCTTGACTTATGATTTCAAATGTTCCCTGATTCCTTCTGTAACAGACATATTTCAAATGTCTTTCCCCTAATGCTTGCTGAATGCTGATTGGTGTAATATTAATTATTTGAAACTAAAGATGAGGAACCAGTTCTATTCATATTCAAATATGAGCAAACTGCTAAACAATCAAATACTCAAATGGTCAGATGACTATTCTATGTTCTAACATGTCATTTGCAAAAATGAAAAAAAATAAAGGTAACTACTATGGCAGCTCAATGGCATATGCTAATGAATCTATAATAAAAGTTCACATAAAAACAAGTTTTGATTAAAAAGAACACTCACGGCAATCAGATTCCCAAATTGGCTAGTGAACTTTGTTCCTATGCAGCTCTTCACAAGTCCCAACACCATTGAACCTGCCATTCAAATATAAAAGCAACAATATGATAATCCAAAGATGATAAAGATGCAAATACAAGGGGATAAAAGATTAAAAAAAATTTCTTTTATTATATAAAAACTTCCTAGGAGAAACATACGGTGTTTCACATCAATAGTCATTGCAATCTTGTCAAGCACAATAATAGCATCCTCAAAACCCTTATTGTATGATGCAAATGAAACGGTTCATCATCAAATGCTAAGTAATGTTTCAAAAGCAGATGTTAAGAATCTAGCATCAGTTCTAAGTTGCATTACCTCGACAGATAATCGTAGGATGATAATTTTTTTCAATTTAGGCTTCTGCGACATGAAGCAACTCACCAGCTGCACCACAGTGTACACCAAATGTAAGTACTAAAGGAAATTGAATACCAAATGAGCTAAGCAATTAAAAATCCATTGAGCTTCTGAAAAATTTATTAGTTCACAAAAAAAGATCTTATAGATGAGAATATAATTGAAAAATAAACTAATGTATGCAAAAGTATCAAAGCACATAAACAGCATTCTGCTGCATAAAAAAATCTACCAAGAACAATGACAGATATCGTTCCATCTCCAACTTCTTCATCTTGCGTACGGCTCAATTCAATCATTGACTGACATGACCATAAGACTGAAAGAAAATACGACAATTTTTTTTTGTTTTGTGGGCTGGGGGTGGGGGAGGCATTCACATGCTAAAAGCAGATCAAATAGAGATGCATGGTGGAATATCATGCGTTTGTTGCTGGGTGTGCAATATCTAACTCACGTAGGATGGAATTTCCATCATTAGTAACGACAATAACCCTTAGAAATCAGAACCATACAACAATATTTATACCAGTTCAACAAAAGCGCATTTGAAGGGTAATAAAATGTTTTTGTTAATTCCAAAACATCTGCACCGGCAATGTAAATAGAAGTAAAAAGGATTACCTCCAGCAGCATCAAGGAGCATTTTCAACATGGATCGAGGACCCAATGTTGTTCGAATAATGTCAGCAATAGCCTGTAAAGTAATTTTGTTCAGTGAGCATTGAACAGACAACAACAAATGGAAATCATATCGAAGACCCAAAGCATGTTGAATCCTGCCTTCTTAGATATATATAAAGTTCTCAGATCAGAACTCAGAAACAAAAATTGGGCTTACATTCTTTCAAAATTTAAGCAGCTTATTCATCAATCACACTCTAGATTAATACAGAGTAAGTAAAACAAAATGATTAAAAAAAAAACAATGAAAGAAAAGGATTACCTTGGAGGCTTGGATATTAGCATGGTGAACCTTAGTCCCGGACTCCCGCTTCAACGAATCCTCTGCTTATTTCAATGTTATATTTAGGAACAAATTGAATCTAAAGGATTTAAAAATGCATCAAAAGAAAAGAAACTTACTCAGAACGAGAAGTGGGGAGTGCATTGCTTATGATTTTTTTGGTATTAGAATTTAAAAGCTGTTGAAACAGACTAATCTGAAAAAGGGTTTCTTCTTCTTCCACCGAAAAACCCTACCAGAACGATGGACCTTTTCTCCCCCAGTTTTTTCTCGAACGCTTGTTTTGTATGGGAACTAATGGAAGATTTGAAAAAATGAGGTGCCTGCCATTTATGGGCTTCATTTGTTTTCTTCTTCTTCTTCTTCTTCGGAGAGGCCCAATTACTTTCTCTTTGATTTGTGTTTACTTTCTTGTTAATTGGGTAACTCCAACAAGCCATTAAACTTAAAACATCTGGCTTTCATCCAAAATGGTACGTAGGGTTGAAATAAAACAATTAGTTTAACATAATAACATTTAAGTAAATTTATATAAAAATACATTTATTTCTCATTAATAAAAACAACTCCATAATTTTATTAAATACATGATTTTTTTTGATCATCTGTATTAGTTAGAGGTATTTATATTTAGGTACTCGCTTTTTCAAATATTTGAGATTTTCGAGTGCCAAAATCTTAGTCCATGTCTTAGCCAGTAATATACGGGTACCCGTAAGTCGAGTAACCTTAAAACCCAGTACCATTATTTTCAGGTCATCGGTACCCAATTAATATTATTTTATTTCTTTAATTTAGTTTAATTTTCAACAAAAAGATACCTAAGACTCTTGTACTTTTGTGAAAAGATCAATTTGGCCATCGAATTATTGTTGCATTCAATGTGACTCTCGAATTTAGAGAGAGAAAAATTAAAGTGACCCTTTAATCAATGATTTCTATCGTTAACCATTATGAAACTGTGTAATAAAAATATTAAAAAGTAGTTATACAACTAAGAAGAGCTTTGTAGTGAATATAACATTATTGACGGAAGTAAACTTCACCTAAACTTAATGTAAAAAAAATAATAGGAAATTTGTCCTACTTTGGTCAATATATATTGTTCAATTTTTTAGAATTTTCATTTTCATTTTCACTATTTTGATAATATAGTTTGTTATTATCATTTATTTGAAACTAGTTTCGTAAAAAATAAATGAAAACAATTTGATAATATATTTTGTTATTATCTTTTATTTGAAAATGCCATTGAATTATATATATCACAAAAATTTGATTTTTATGAACATTTTGTTTTTATAATAAATTATTATATTTTCTCTTTAAAATAAAAATGTATAACTAAAAACATATTTTTTTCATAAAAACTAAAATCATTTATTAATTAAAAAATAATTTTTTATAATTTTTCTATAACAATAACTATAAAACTTTTACTATATAACATTTTTGGCACAAAAAAATAGGGATAAATTTTTATAGTATAATTTTTCATAATGATAAAAATATATAAATACAAAATAATTGATTACAAAAGACTTGAATTTTATTATCTGATGTGATAATTTTTTCTATAACAATTACTATAAATTATAATTACAAAACTTATCAATATAGCTTTTTGAAAGAAAAAAAAACTGGAGAAAAATATTTATCACAATATATGTAATCACTATAATTAAAATTTATAACTACAAGTATAATTTCTCAAAAAAATGTGAATACCATTATTTTTTGTGACAATATTTTTTTTTTGTAATAATTATAAACACTTATAGTTACAAAAATTGTTACAATATGATTTTTCTAGTGCAAAAAAATATGGAAGAAAATCTTTACGAAAATATATTTTGTTACTATATAACATTTTTGACATTAAAAAAATAGGGAGAAATAGTTTTGATAGTATAATTTTTCATAATGATTAAAATATATAAGTACAAAATAATTTAATACAAAAAACTTGAATTTTATTATTTGATGTGATAATTTTTTCTATAACAATAACTATAAATTGTAATTATAAAAATTGTCAATATAATTTTTGAAACAAAAAAGTGGAGAAAAAAAGTTATGACGATTAATATATGCTATCACTATAGTTAAAATTTATAACTACAAATAATTTATCACAAAAACGTGAATGTCATTATTTTTTTGTGACAATGTCTTTTGTAATAATTATTAACACTTATAGTTACAAAATTTATCATTATATGACCTTTTTGGCGCAAAAATATATGGAGGAAAATCTTTGTGACAATATATTTTGTCACTATAATTAAAACATATAATGGCAAACATTGTTTTTTACTAAAAACTTAGATCTTATTATTTGTTGTGACAATTTTTTTTGTAACAATAATTATAGCTTATAGTTACAAAACATGTCACCATATGATTTTGTTTTTTACCAAAAATTGGAGATAATCATTTGTGACTATACATTTTGTCACTATAATTAAAACATATAATTACAAACAAAATTTGTCACAACAAATCTAAATCTCATTACTTGTTGTGACAATTTTTTTGTCATAGTTACTAAAACTTTTTGTTACAAAAGTTGTCACTATATGCCTTCAATTTGGCACCAAAAAATTGGAGGGAAACATTTATAGCAAAAATTAGTAATAAAATTTATTTTGTCATCCTATATTACACATTTTTGTTAATTGTGACAAATTATTATGACGATTTTAGCTTTTTTCATAATTGTATATCTTTTTTTAATCTAATGCTACGATTATTTATTTTGTCACCAAAAAGCTACTAATAGTGACAAAATTAATTTTAAGAAAATTAATTTTGTCACATCAGTAAAAATTTCTTGTAGTGAGTCATTTTGTTGATCGATGTTGGTATCGATTTGATCAAGTCTTTTTTGGTGTTCTTGCTAATAGTGGTCAATCGTCTTCCAGATATGAATCGAGTAGTGCTCATCATACTATTTATGAGAACACTAGATGTGCTTGTTGTGTCATTAGTGGCCAAGGTGGTGTGGTTTGGCCAAAGCTCATGTTGTTCATTCTTCTTGCACTTTGTGGGTATTTGATTCATGAGCTACTCATCATATAACTCTTGATGCATCTATTATATCTCATCCAACTAGTTTTGATGGACCAAGTAATCTCTTAGTTTGAAATAGGGAGTCTCTTGGGGTAAAGAAGATTGGTAGATCTACCTTATCTTCTTCTTCTCAAGCTTCATTACTTAATGATCTATTATATGTACCTAAAATAACTAAGCATTTGATTTGTGTGTCAAAGCTTGCTACGGGCAATCAAGTGTTCTTTGAGTTTCATGTTGAGGAATGTTATGTTCGTTATGAGTTAAGTGGTGTTTTTCATCTTCAATCGAGAAAGCAAAATGGATGTCTTTACACGTTTATTGTGGCTAATAAACCTAGTACATGTAATAAGGTAGAGGTAAATTCTGTAGCTACCTCTTCTAGTTCTTTTAATATTATTGAACTTTGGTGTAGACGATTAGGGCATCCTGCCTTTAATACCTTGAAACTTGCTTGTAGTACCATTGATGTACACATTCCATGTAATGAAAATAAGACTTGTGTTGCTTGTTGTTTGGGTAAAAGCCACAAGTTACCCTTTTCAAAATCAAAGACTGTGTATGTTGTGTCATTTCAACTTGTATTTTTTATTTTTGGGGTCCATCACTTGATCCTTCTTTTGGTTATAGGTACATCTCTTTTGTGGATGTATGTACTCGACATTCTTAAGTCTATTTCTTAAAAGACAAGTCTCAAGTAATTGTTGCCTTTTGGTTGTTTCAGAGTTCGGTTAAAACTCAGTTTTCACTCCCGATCACAGCCATACAAAGTGAATGAGGAGAAAAAGACAGAGGTTAGTCGGCTGAGTAATTCTAGGTAGGTATTCTACATATGGTTACAGTATCCCAGGTGATGCGTAGTGGCTGTTGAACGGCAGGAACTGCAGTCAGTTATCGTATTGTTTGTTCAGCCATCAGGATTGGTTCCTCTAGCGTAAAATGTGTATCAGCTTTGAAGAGTGCTTCGTGATTTGGATTTGGTTGTTCCTAGCGTTGTGCTTTTTCTTGTTGTTTCCTCCATTCCCAAAGTGTTACTCCACATATTCTCCGAGAGCTAGTGCTTCGATATCAGGTTCAAAATGTTCGCCTAGGTTCATCCTGGTCAAAAATAAAAAACAAACTTAATCAGTAACTTTTGCCAAAATCCCCTGCAATGGTGTTAATTTGACAAACGTCGTTTTACTGTCAAAAAATATTCATTAATCTCAAATAAAGAAATAAAAATAGAATAGTAAAGAGAATAATGGTCGATTCACAAGGACTTTGGAGCTGTTGATATAGAAGGCTTTTAATTCTGATGTGGACAAAAATTGCAAGTAAAATAGGGGGATTTGTTTGAAAGGAAACGAATAAAATAAAATGAAGAATTTATTCTATGTAATTTTAAAGGGAAAGTAAAAATTGAGATGAAAATTCGATATGGTAAAAACAGCCTCAGGCTTCACTTTGCCCCAATCCAATTGATCCTTAAAAAAGATTTTTACTTCATATTAATGTCGGTTACAGTCTACAAGGCCTAACCCTTGTAACTTGTTTTTCTCTTAATTAAATCGAAAATACAAAATCAATCTTTGGATCCCAGTCCTTATTTGGACTAACCACGACTATCGTTGCTAGCACCAACTCGGTTTAAAATTTTGAAAACCCCTACTCGGGTTATGTTGTCTCAATAAGAATCGAACTCGATCTTAATTTCTCTTAACAGACTGTCACTAAGTGTGTTCCCAGGAAGTCGAACTTGCTACCATCTGATTCTTCCTCCTAACTTTAAATCGAAACAACATTCAAGCCAACTTTCACTTTTGAAATGAAAGCATTTTGATTTTTAAAGGAAATGTCGATTACCAATCCAAATTTGCAGAAAATTAAAAATGTAACCTGAAGATATTAAGTGCTTTTCAATTCTCACAATCAGAATTATTTCATCGCTTCAACCCTTGGCTTATGAGAAAATTATCTAAGTATGATAGAAATCATTCTTATCATTTTAAAAAAATAAAGTAAAACTAAAAAGGTAAAAAGCGAGAAAGAAAATAAAAACTTTTATAAAGCTAGAAAGCAAAGAACAAAACTAAATAAGGATATGTTTCATGCTTACCTCGAGGGGTATTTATAGTTCTCTAAAACCCTACAAATGAAGGAAAATTAACTAAAGATAAATACCAAAAATATTCAAATAAAATCCTAAAAATAAATCATAATTATTAATTCAA